GTTTTACAGAGACCAGGCCAGTTATTCGGAGACCAGGCCTCTTATTCAGAGACCAGACCTCTAATACAGAGACCAGGCCAGTAATACAGAGAACAGAGCGGTAATACAGAGACCAGGCCAGCTTTACAGAGACCAGGGCTGTTATACAGAGACCAGATGTCTTATATAGAGACCAGGGCTGTTAGACAGAGACCAGGCCTTTAAAAAGAGCCCAGGCCAGTTATACAGAGACCAGTCCTTTTATACAGAGACCAGTCCTTTTATACAGAGACCAGGCCAGTTATACAGAGACCCGGCCAGTTATACAGAGACCCGGCCAGTTATACAGAGACCCGGCCAGTTATACAGAGACCAGGCCAGTTATACGGAGACCAGGCCAGTTATACGGAGACCAGGCCAGTTATACAGAGACCAGGCCTTTTATACAGAGACCCGGCCAGTTATACAGAGACCAGGCCTCTTATACAGAGACCAGAACTCTAATAGAGAGAGAAGGCCTGTCATACCGAGACCAGAGCAGTAATACAGAAACCAGGCCAGCCTTACAGAGACAAGAGCTGTTATACAAAGATCAGGCCAGTTTTACAGAAACCAGGCCCGTTTTACAGCGACGAGGTTTGTTACACAGAGACCAGGCCAGTTATACAGAGACCAGACCTGTTTTTCATGGACCAGGCCACTTATACAGAGACCAGGGCTGTTATACAGAGACCAGGGCTGTAATACAGAGACCAGGCCAGTTTACAGAGACCAGGCCGTTTATACAGAGACCAGGCGAATTATACAGAGACCAGGCGAGTTATACAGAGACCAGGCCTGTTAAACAGAGACCAGGCCTGTTATACAGAGACCAGTTCTGTTATACAGAGACCAGGGCTGTTATACAGAGACCAGGCCAGTTATTCGGAGATCAGGCCTGTTATACAGAGACCAGGACAGTTTTACATAGACCAGGCCAGTTATTCGGAGACCAGTCCTCTTATTCAGAGACCAGACCTGTAATACAGAGACAAGGCCAGTGATACAGACACCAGAGCAGTAATACAGAGAACAGGCCAGCCTTACAAAGAGCAGAGCTGTTATACAGAGACCAGGCCAGTTATACAGAGACCAGGTAAGTTATACAGAGACCAGGCCTTTTATACAGAGACCAGGCCTTTTATACAGAGACCAGGCCAGTTATACAGAGACCCGGCCAGTTATACAGAGACCAGACCTCTTATATAGAGACCAGGCCTGTTATACAGAGACCAGTCCAGTTATACAGAGACCACAGCTGTTATACAGAGACCAGGCCAGTTATTCGGAGACCAGGCCTCTTCAGAGACCAGACCTCTAATACAGAGACAAAGCCAGTCATACAGAGACCAGAGCAGTAATAGAGAGACCAGGCCAGCCTTACAGAGACCAGAGCTGTCATACAGAGACTATGCCAGTTTTACAGAAACCAGGCCAGTTTTACAGAGACCCGGCCAGTTATACAAAGACCAGGTGAGTTATACAGAGACCAGGCCAGTTATACAGAGACCCGGCCAGTTATACAGAGAACAGGTGAGTTATACAGAGACCAGGCCAGTTATACAGAGACCAGAGCATTAATATAGAGACCAGACCTCTTATATAGAGACCAGGCCTGTTATACAGAGACCAGGCCAGTTATACAGAGACCACAGCTGTTATACAGAGACCAGGCCAGTTATTCGGAGACCAGGCCTCTTCAGAGACCAGACCTCTAATACAGAGACAAAGCCAGTCATACAGAGACCAGAGCAGTAATAGAGAGACCAGGCCAGCCTTACAGAGACCAGAGCTGTCATACAGAGACCATGCCAGTTTTACAGAAACCAGGCCAGTTTTACAGAGACCCGGCCAGTTATACAAAGACCAGGTGAGTTATACAGAGACCAGGCCAGTTATACAGAGACCCGGCCAGTTATACAGAGAACAGGTGAGTTATACAGAGACCAGGCCAGTTATACAGAGACCAGAGCATTAATATAGAGACCAGGACTCTTATAGAGAGACCAGGCCTCTTATAGAGAGACCAGGTCTGTTGTACAGAGACCCGGGCTGTTATGCAGAGACAAGACCAGTTATACAGAGACTAGAGCATTAACACATAGACCAGGCCTCTTACACAGAGACGGCGTCTTATACAGAGACCAGGCCACTTATACAGAGACCAGGGCTGTTATACAGAGACCAGGCCTCTTATACAGAGACCAGAACTCTAATACAGAGACAAGGCCTGTCATACCGAGACCAGAGCAGTAATACAGAAACCAGGCCAGCCTTACAGAGACCAGAGCTGTTATACAAAGGTCAGGCCAGTTTTACAGAAACCAGGCCAGTTTTACAGCGACGAGGCTTGTTACACAGAGACCAGGCCAGTTATACAGAGACCAGACCTGTTATACATGGACCAGGCCACTTATACAGAGACCAGGGCTGTTATACAGAGACCAGGGCTGTTATACAGAGACCAGGCCAGTTTACAGAGACCAGGCCGTTTATACAGAGACCAGGCCATTTATACAGAGACCAGGCGAGTTATACAGAGACCAGGCGAGTTATACAGAGACCAGGCCTGTTAAACAGAGATCAGGCCTGTTATACAGAGACCAGTTCTGTTATACAGAGACCAGGGCTGTTATACAGAGACCAGGCCAGTTATTCGGAGACCAGGTCTGTTATACAGAGACCAGGACAGTTTTACATAGACCAGGCCAGTTATTCGGAGACCAGGCCTCTTATTCAGAGACCAGACCTATAATACAGAGACAAGGCCAGTGATACAGACACCAGAGCAGTAATACAGAGAACAGGCCAGCCTTACAAAGAGCAGAGCTGTTATACAGAGAGCAGGTCAGTTTTACAGAGACCAGAGCTGTTATACAGAGACCAGGCCAGCTGTACAGTGATCAGGCCTGTTACACTGAGACCAGGCCTGTTATACAGAGACCAGGCCTGTTATACAGAGACCAGGCCAGTTTTACAGAGAACAGGCCAGTTATTCCAAGACCAGGCCTGTTATACAGAGACCAGACCTCTTATACAGAGACCAGCGCTGTTATACAGAGTCTAGGCCTCTTATACAGAGACCAGGCCACTAATACAGAGACGAGCGCTGTTATACAGAGACCAGGCCTGTTATACACAGACCAGGCCAGTTATCCAGAGTGAGTATGATTGTTGCCGAAGTGTTCCCTGTGTCTGTCTCCAGCAACTGAAATATAATATGCAAACAGGAATCCTGATTTTCTGCCTTGTGTTCATTTTTTGAGTGTGGAGTATGTGCACTTAATGTAAGATGTACAATTGTCAATACTGCATCACTCAACAGCATATTAAATGGGTTTTGATTCGATAAATTTATGTGTCTCTGTTGTGTGAATATACCCACAGACCGTGTGCTGATCGTGTCCCACTGATATCTCGCTCCTGGCCTCTGTGGGCACATTTTGGCTGTCGCCCCGACCCGAGCCGTCCACGCCTGATAATGTTCTTGCTCCCAACCCCACACTTTGCTTCTCCCACTATGTGCTGCTCTCCCATTGCCCTGCTTGCCTGTACGTGTGTGTGTGAGCGTGCATGTGTGTGGGTGCGTACGTGTGTGTGAGTGTGCATGTGTGTGTATGTGCATGTGTGTATATGTGTGTGTATGTGAGTGTGTGTGAATGTGTGTGTGTGTGTATGTTTTCGTGTGTGTGTCTGTTAGTGTGCATGTGTGTGTGTGTGTATGTACGTTTGTAGGTATATATGTGCATATATATATGTGTGTGTGAGTGCGTTAGTATGTGTGTACGTGTGTATGCATGGGTATGTACGTGTGTGAGTCAGTGTGTATGTGTGCCAATGAACATATATCAGGACTATCTGTCGGGACAAAGTCAGAAAACAACTGAAAACATGGAAGATGAGCTGACACATCGGCAGTAATGCAGACACCACCATTCATGGCTGCACTCTTCACCTCACGGAGCCAATCCGAAACCTCGGTATCCTTTTCGATCTTCAGCTACCCTTCAAACCCTTCATTCATGCCATGAACTGTTCCGTCTTTCCACACCTCTGCAACATTGCCCATCTCCACCACTGCCTCTCACCACAGGCCATTGAGACCCCAATATACAATTTCATCATATCCCATTGGTGGTCAGGCATTCAGCATCCCTGCCCCCACAGTCTGGAACTCTACCCCACAATCCCTCCACTTCACCCCCAAGCTTGCCTCCTTCAATTCCCGTCTGAAGACCGTGTCATTTGTTGTTGCTGTAGAGCTGAGGCATGAGACACAAGATCCTTTGGTCCCACTAACAATGGGAACCTGCGAGATACTGGAGAGGATGTGAAGGAGATTTACCAGGATGGTACCAGGAATGAGGGACTTCAGTTATCAGGAGAGGCTTGAGAAGCTCGGATTATTCTCCTTGGAGCAGGGAAGGTTAAGCGGAGATTTAATAATACTAATAATAATCCTTGCATTTGATAGTGATTTTCACGTCCCTAGCTGTCCCAAAGCACTTCACAGAATATACGGCAAAGCGTATTGACTGTACATTTGTGACCGAACGCGGCAGCCAATTGCGCACAGCAGTGTTCCACAAACAGTCATGGATTGAAAATGACCAATTTATTATTGGTTTTTTCCAATAGTTTTCAGAATTTGGAGCAGATTTGATAAAGTAAAGAAGGAGAAACTATTCCCACTGACGGGTGGGTCAGTAACCCGAGGACACCGAGTTAAAAGAAACAGAGGGGAAGTGAGGAGAAATGTTTTCACACAAGGAGTTGTTTGGATCTTGAATCCATTGTGTGAAAGGCTGGTGGACGCCGATGGCCACTTTATGAGAGAAATCGATCATTATTTGGAGAGAACCAGTTTGCAGGGCGATGGGGAGAGAGCAGGGGACTGACTTGGGTGGCTCTTTTCAAACAGCCGGCAGACACAATGGGCCGAATGGCCTCCTTCTGTGCCGTACTATTCTATTCATTCTACGTGGCTCAAGGTTTCCAATTCTCCAGTTCCTTAGCAACATAACCTTCGGGAACATGGAGGCTGTCCGTGTGAGATTCATAGTAACAGAAGTCATGACAAGTTGGATACAGAAACACTAAGCTGTGGTTTGTCTGTGGACAATCTTATTCGGGCTCCCGCTGGAGCGACCACATTATATATAGTGAAGGACAAACGCCTGACGCCAGACGAGTTTCGTTTGGAAGTTACAGCCTTTGATATGAGCACTTGGGCGGCTCTTATAAGAGCCTTTGTTCTTTGTGTCTTGACGTTGAGGAGATGTTCAGCCGCCGAATCCGTACAGAGTGCGGCCCTGGCGTTTCAGAGCGTACACCACATCCATGGCGGTGACGGTCTTGCGCTTGGCGTGCTCCGTGTAGGTGACCGCATCCCTGATCACATTCTCCAGGAAAACCTTCAGCACCCCGCGGGTCTCCTCGTAGATCAGGCCGGAGATGCGCTTGACTCCGCCACGCCGCGCCAGGCGGCGGATGGCTGGTTTGGTGATGCCCTGGATGTTATCACGGAGCACTTTGCGGTGACGCTTAGCGCCGCCTTTCCCCAGACCTTTGCCTCCTTTGCCTCGGCCAGACATGTCTCTCCTCCACTCAACAGCAGTCGAATGACGGACACGCAGCTTCTGGCTGCTTTTATACAGGGCGCCCCGACCTGGCTGAGGAAGGCAGAGCAGAGCTGCCGAGGGGAGGAGACGGTCACAGTGACACACACACACAGACACACAACAGCTGCCGCAGCTCAGCTCCTCCCGCAGTTTCCCACAATTGCCAATTGTTAAAACAATTTCGCAAAAGCAAACCGGAAACCAAAAGAACCCCAATTCAAATGCCATGTGAACCTCTAAACCCCATGGTTTCCCATCAAGCAGTAATGTTAAAGCAGCTCTCCAGCTGGAATGTGCGCGGGAAATACCATTCAACCTCACTGACCAGAAGGAGTTACTGTTAACTGTTAATGTGGCTTCCCTCAAAATAAACCCAAATGCTCCTGAATTCCCAGCATGTTACAGGCACAGACATGGAATATTAGAGGTTGAAGGTATAAGATGAGGCTCAGTGTCTGTGTCACTGCCATATTTTAGCCAGAATCTCGAGCTCGGAAACTTCTCAGTTTCTTTCTATTTTTCGCCGAATGATCAACGCTGTGTTTTGCCATTCCACCGCTGTATATTTCCCGCTGTTGTAGCTATTGATGGGAAGGAGAATGTAGTCACCGTAGTGAAACTGGTGGGCTTTTTGAATTTGCTGCGAGTCTCAGTGTGAACCAAAGATTCACACAGTAACATGGCCTGACAGGGAGTCACCGCCACAGCTGATACTGTAACACATTCAGTGCTCGGCAGAGAAACGGAGAATGAATGGCTCTCAGCCCAAAGTCATTCCATGTTATTTTCAGGCAGCTGTTTGTGTCATGAAACATGCTCGAGATTTGTTCAGCTAGCTGGAGAGGATTGGCATGTGCCTGCGAATATTCCCCTTTGACCTCAATCGCCATGTAAGCCTTTTATTGCTATCTATATCTCTGTAGTTAAACAATCAGTTCAATTCCAGGCAGAGGGCGAAACCTTGGGCAAGTTTCCTTACTCCACACAGAGCCTAATAATAATCCCTCCAAAACCAAACACAATAATAAATTGGTCATTTTCAATCCAGGACTGTTTGTGGGACATTGCTGTGCGCAATTGGCTGCCGCGTTCGCCCACAAATATACAGTCAATTCACTTTACAGTGTGTTCTGTGAAGCGCTTTGGGACGTCCTCCTGACGTGAAAAGCGCTATATCAAATGCAAGGATTATTACTATTATTATTATTACTATTAACCGTGGAGCACACAGACAGAACCAGTGAAATCCTTTCTCCTTTGTCCTATCTGTGAGAACACTGACACTGTGGCGAGCTCCTATCTCAGAGCCTCCTGTCACTCACTGCGCTGCCAAACAGTCACAAACTCCGGGAGACTGCAGCACATAACATGGACAGAGGAAAATCCGCTCCTGAGAATTCAATGACTGGGGTATAGTTTGCCAGTTCAAGGCGCTGATTCAATGATAGTGTCAGCGGCTCTGTGTTAAAAAGGCGCCAGACTCAGATTCCAGTCACTGTGCTAGTGTGTCCAGCTTCATCCCGGGATTTCCAAATCCCTAGCACCAGAAGTAAGAATATTTTCTGTTGACGGGATGGCCCCGACCCTCTGCTTGACATCACAGCCACAATTTAAGCTGTGATTCTGTTTGGTTTGAGAATATCATTCAAGTCGCCGTCAATATGTCCAGGATTCAGCGCTGATCCGCGGGCAATCCCACATTCAAACGTTTTTAACTGGAAGCTGCTGCCTTTAGTTCAGTTGTGCAGTGTCTCTCAGTGAAGAGCGGATTGTGCACTTCAGCGAAAGGCTGTTGTTGACTCTCAGCACAAACGAGTTTAGAGACAAACGATCAGTTTTGGAAACGACAGAAACACAGAGATTTGAAACCCGGAAGCTGAGCAGCGGCTGACTCTGCCGCGTCCGCTCGGAGGCTGTAAGTGGCTGTGGCGCCGCCTGGCTTCACTATCCTGAGCAGCTCCACACACTGAGCCTCTCACAGGGACTATGGCTGAAACTGCTCCCGCCGCCGTCCAGCCTCCTGCAGCCGCCACCGCTTCGCCCAAAGCCGCCAAGAAGAAGCGCGTTGCCCCGAAGCAGAAACCCGGCTTCAACCTGATGGAGGAGATCAAGCAGATGGTGGCGAGCGCTGAGCATCGCAGGGGCTTGTCCGTGGTCGCCATCAAGAAGACTCTGGACGCCAAAGGCTACAAGCCGGAAACTCACAAACACCAGGTCAGGGCTTCTCTGAAGAGACTGGCAGACAGAGGTATCCTGATCCAGACCACGGGCATCGGCGCCACCGGCTCCTTCAAACTCAACAAGGACAACGCGGCAAAGAAGCCGACCCCGCGGGGGAAGAAGGCAGCGGCCGCCAAGAAAGCTTCTCCACGGAAGAAACTTGCAACAAAAAAGCCAAGTTCACCCAAGAAACCATCTGTGCCCAAGAGAGTCCACAAAGCCAAGTCTCCCGCTGTCAAGAAGACCCCGAAAGCTGCCGTGAGTAAGAAGCCCAAATCGGCCAAAAAACCTGTAAAGAAAGCGGTGGTAAAGAAAGCTGTAAAGAAGCCCGCAGCCTCAAAGAGACCAAGCGGCAAAACCGCCAAACGTTTCCCCAAAGCGCCGGCGGCTAAGAAAACACCAGCCAAAAAGAAGTAACTTCTCCCCTCTGCTGATATTAACCCCCAAAGGCTCTTCTCAGAGCCACCCATTCCCTCCCAAACGAGCTGCACCTAACGAATGATTCTGGGGTGAGCAGAGTGTCTGTCACAGGAGAGCAGAAACATAGACATAAACAGCAGGTACTGGGACCTTTGGCGTGTGTCCATGGCAGCATCTTGGCACCTGAGTCGGTATGAATCCGAGTTAGTCCAGTGGTTAGTATCTCCGCCTGTCACGCGGGAGACCGGGGTTCAAATCGCCGACAGGGAGGTCGCTTTAGTTTCTGTTAGTTACCAAACAAGCATTCGTAAAAGACAACAATGATATCTGTGCCCAGTAACCAACGCTGCTTCTGAACGGTTTGGAACACACTGAGACCAAGTGTGTCAAGAGCAAATATCCCCACAAAACATCAACTAAACATCTTTTGCTTTTCACCTCAAAATATTATTTGCCCCTATGTGTGTACCAAATTTACCTGAAACGGTACAGACAGTTATACAGAGACCAGGCCAGTTTACCGAGACCAGGCCTGTTATACAGAGACCAGACAGACATTCTGAACTGTATTTGAATTGGATTTCTCTTTACTGGGACTATTCTGCTTAATTATGAGCCCAGTAACCATTGTTGCATTAAATATATATTGGCATTAGCATTTATTAGTAAATAAATGCAACAAGTTTCCACTATTGTGCTTTATCCTCACAGGCCTTTGTGTTGCTTTGAGTAATACAGCATTAACTTGAGAGTTAACTCTATATAACTCAAAGCAACACAACCTGCTGTCCTGCTGTCCTCCACAGCCCTGCTGTCTTGTGGGGTTTGGAAGATCTTACCATCAGATAAGGAAGCCAGTCTCCGGGCTGCAATACCGAGGCTGACCACAGGGGAAGCAGATATTTCTGTCTCTCAGGGTGAAAGCTCAGGTGTAAACCTGCAAGAGAGGAAACTGGCAGATAATATTTGTGCAAATTAATTTAACTGACGTGAAGTCTGAGAAAATAAAACCTTCATTCCAGGTGAATTAATACATGTCGATAAACTTTGAAGTTATGATGAACTGTAGTCCTGTAGCTCAGTGGTTATTGCCCTCGCCTTGCCCCTGGCTTCAAATCCAGGCAGGGAGAAACCTTGGGCAAGTTTCCTTACTCCACACACCTAATAATAATCCCTCCAAAAAACAAAACAATAATTGGTCATTTTCAATCCACGACTGTTTGTGGGACGCTGCTCTGCGCAATTGGCTGCCGTTTCGCCACAAATATACAGTCAATTCACTTAACAGCATATTCTGTGAAGTGCATTGAGATGTGGAGATGACATGAAAAGCGCTATATCAAATGCAAGGATTATTATTATAATAATGATGATAATAATCACTGTGTTTGTAGATTTTGTCTACGAACAAAATAGCATAATTTTACTTTTGTCAGAAAGATGTCAGACAATTGTGGAAAGCCATCCATTATCTTAAAACTATTCAAACTATTCCTGCTACAAGGTGGGGGGGAATTCACCATCAACGATCGAAAGGTGGAAGACTATGCTGTTTGCCCTTTCAGGTGGAGTTTGGAGATTCCAGGGCACTATTGGAAATCAGCACTCAGTTACTCCTGGTTTCCTGGACAATAATCCTTCTCATAACATCCATGATTTGTTGTGGGTCATTGCTGGAGCTGAATGGGAGATTCCTTGTTCCCAGTGACTGGTGTTACATCCAAATGTTGTTGTCAAGCTTGGCTGGCTGGTCTAGCATTAACAGTGTGTGTTCCTTATCCTCTCAGGAAGCCAAGCAGGGCATCCCTCAAGTCAGTGCACATTGAAATACAACCTTGCTTTTAATATTGCCCCTTTCATGTCTGAAAGTATCAACTTTGTTTCACATCATTTCACTTTTGATGAAAGACCCACCTGTGCACTGTGTCTGTATCGAAGTGATTCACTGAGAATAAAATCAGAGTGGGGTGTGGGGGATATGTGACTCAGGTTCAATATCTCCATGAAATAACCTCAGGCATTTATAAAGCTGATTGAGCTGCTCCATTGCAATGGCTATTCAATACACAGCACCGACTGCCCTGGTCCAAGTGGCCAATGACCTCGATCTGCAACCAGGACTCTTCTGCCACCTTGTTCTCAGAACCTCTTTGTTGTCTCCCATTTATCCACACGATCCTTCTCTCAGCTCTGCTCCACCTTCAAGATTCTGTCCAATACTAGTTTCACTCTTACCTATTCCAGCAAAGTTGCTCCTCTGTCATTTCAAACAGCTTTTCCTCCTGCTCCCAAACATACACAAGCAGTGTTCTTTAGAGCTTCATCCCAGTCCCTGCTGTTCTGATGGACGCATTGTCAGCTATCAAGTTATTCATGAGCAGGAAATCGCTTCACATGAATGTTGACCAAAGAGATTGTTATTGTGCAATTGATTTTGTTTGCGGCAATAACAGGCCTGGTCTCTGTATGTCAGGCCTGGTCTCTGTATGATAGGCCTGGTCTCTGTATGACAGGCCTGGTCTCTGTATGACAGGCCTGGTCTCTGTATGACAGGCCTGGTCTCTGTATGTCAGGCCTGGTCTCTGTATGTCAGGCCTGGTCTCTGTATAACTGGACTGGTCTCTCTACAATAAACCTGTTCTCCATATAATAGGCCTGGTCTCTGTATTACAGGCCTGGACTCTTTATGAAAGGCCTGGTATCTGTGTAACTGGCCTGGTTTCTGTATAGCTGGCCTGGTCTCTACAATAAACCTGTTTTCCATATAACGGCCTGGGCTCTGTATAACTGGACTTGTTCCTCTGTAATAAACCTGTTCTCCATATAACAGGCCTGCTCTCTATAATACAGTCCTTGTCTCTGTATAACTGGCCTGGTTTCTGTATAGCTGGCCTGGTCTCTACAATACATCTGTTTTCCATATAACGGCCTGGGCTCTGCATAACTGGACTAGTCACTCAATAATAAACCTGTTCTCCATGTAACCGGCCTGGCTAATTTTTGTGTAATAATGAAAATCAGGATTCCTGTTTGCATATTATATATCAGTTGCTGGAGACAGACTCAGGGAACACGTCGGCAACATGTTATATGTTTCCACCCATTCAAAGTGCAATAACACATACTGACATGGCCAGTACAACATCGATTCCACTGATAAAAGAAGGACCAAATATCCACAAACATTTATATTATTTGCAAAGAGAGGAGAGGGCTAGGTAAGAATCAATTCTGCACTGATGCTTAGAGAAAGGAACCATTCAAACTCATTGGACGACATTGAAAAAGACAATGTCATTTCGATAATGGTCTTGCGATGCTGCGATTCCTTGGATTCTGGAACAGTCCCCATGGATTGGAAGATCGCAAATGTCACCTACTATTTAAAAAAGGTGGAAAGGAAAAGATGAGGATCTAAAGGCCAGTTAGTCTCACATCAGTGATCGGAAAAATTTTAGAATCATTGATTAAGGATGTGGTTGTGCGATATTTAGGGGAGCACAACATAATTAGGCCAAGTCGAGTTTTTTGAGGATATTTCTAGTAAACTAGATAAGGATGAATCAGTGGATGTGGTCTGTTTGGACTTCCAAAAGGCATTTGATAAGGTGCCGCATAAAAGGTTAGTCCAAAAGATAAGGACCCATGGAATAGGGGGGAGCATATGAACTTGGAATGGGGAATGGTTAACGGGTAGGAAACAAAGAGTAAGGATAAACGGTCTTGTTCAGATTGGCGTGATGTGACTAGTGGAGTGCCACATGGCTCAGTCCATAGGCCTCAGCTATTTACCATCTACATCAACAATCTAGATGAGGACATCAAAGTTAATATGTCTAAATTTGCAGATGACACAAAACTAGGAGGAAGTGTCAACACAGAGGATGACATCAAAAAATGCAGCGATACACAGATAGGTGAGGTGGCAGATGAAGTATAATGTATCCACCTAGGTAGCAAAAACAGTAGAGCGGGTTATTTGTTAGAAGGGGAGAGATTGGAATGTGTTAGCGTCCAGAGGGACTTTGGTGTCCTTACACACCAATCGCAGAAAGTTAGTTTGCAGGTGCAACAGCAATTAGGAAGGCGAACGGTATGTTAGCATTCATTATGAAAGGATTAGAGTAATAATAATAATAATAATCTTGGCATTTGGTATAGCGCTTTTCACATCTTCTGGAAGTCTCAAAGCACTTCACAGAATAGAGTTTAAAGTGATTTGACCGTATATTTGTGGGCGAAGCGGCAACCAATTGTTCCACAAACAGTGGTGGATTGTTAATACTTTCATAATGAATGCGTACAGTAGGTTAGCATTCATTATGAAAGGATTAGAGTACAAGTGCAGGGAAGTCTTGCTGCAACTGTATAGGGCCCCAGTGAGACCACACCTGGAATACGTGTCCAGTTTTGGTCTCATTATTTAAGGAAGGATGTACTTGCCTTGGAGGGAGAGCAGCGCAGATTTACAAGGTCAGTACGAGGGATGAAGGGGATGAGTTTCGAGGATAGGCTTACCAATTTGGGCCTATATATCTCCAGCCCCCACATCACCTCACCCGCATGACACACCCAACCCCCACACATCACCGCCTGTACTCCTACGACCCTATCTCTCCCTTCTCCCTCATCACGACTGTCCACAAACTCAAATTCACCACCTGCTCCCTCAATCCCATCCCCGTCTCCCAGCTCCAAATTCTAGCTCCTCTCCTGTCCGATGTCATCAACTTCTCCTTGTCCATTGGTTCAGTTCGCACCACCCTAAAAACAGCCATCATCACCCTCATCTTGAAAAAACTATCCCTGGATCCGTCCCTCCTCTCCAGCTACTGCCTCATCTCTAAACTCCCTACCTCAAACCCTTTGCCTCGCCCCCTTTAGGTCAGGCCTGAAGACCTTCCTTTACAACCGCGCCTACAGTCACATCCCCCCCCCCCGCTCGGGCCTTGGGCTCCAGCATTGTTAAGCTCTGAGATGCCGCCTGTTGCCTCAATACATGGAATCTCATTGGCCTCGTTATGGGCTTGTAATCAAGATGAAGAAAATATGCACTGGTTGTTCTGTTCCAGTAAAACCAGTTCTCACCAAATACTTTGTTATACTCAACTTCCTTTTCAAACATTCATTCTCAGAAAATATTGAAATTAGTCATTACTGGCCCATGTGCCTGAGTAACCAATGGAAATAATACCTCTCCATCTGGTCTATGAGAAAACATCAAACATTTAAGGATTTTTATGCGTTGGCTGTTTCAATACAAACAGGCTCAGTTCACAGAATCAACCAGAATTGGTAACAAAACTACATTGTAAATTAAATTAATACCGAATAAGAATAAGTTTTCACACAGTGTCACGCCTGCCTCAAGTAATCACATATGTACAGAATTTCAGTGACTTGCAAATTTGTTATATTGCAAGCAGAGAAAAGATTTGATATATTTGTTATATTGCAAGCAGAGAGGGCAGCTGAAATGAGCACCGGTGGAGCTACAGATTACATTGGTGTACAGTGCCTTTCAGGTCGGGACGACGAGCCAAGGCGCTGGATATCGTCAGTGCCCACACAAGTTTAAGGCGCTTTTGCTACAGCTCTGTCGGAGAAGTGGTGTGTGGCTCTGAAAAGAGCCTTTGTGTGTAGATGGAGTGACTGTGAGCCCTCACTTGGAGCTGGTGTACTTGGTGACGGCCTTGGTGCCCTCGGACACGGCGTGCTTGGCCAGCTCCCCGGGCAGCAGCAGGCGCACGGCGGTCTGGATCTCCCTGGAGGTGATGGTCGAGCGCTTGTTGTACTGCGCCAGGCGGGAAGCCTCGGACGCGATGCGCTCGAAGATGTCATTCACAAAGGAGTTCATGATGCTCATGGCCTTGGAGGAGATGCCGGTGTCCGGGTGGACCTGCTTCATCACCTTGTACACGTAGATGGAGTAACTCTCCTTCCTCGACCTCCTGCGCTTCTTGCCCGCAGTCTGCGGTTTGCGAATCGCTTTCTTGCTGCCTTTTTTGGGCGCTCCTTTGCCCTCGGATTTAGCGGCTTTGGCATCGGTTTTGCCCTCACCAGCCATTCTGCTCTCTTGATACCACCGACACAGTGTCGGGCAGTGGCTGAACGTCTTCTTATATATTATCGCCATCCAATCCCAGCAAAGCAGTCCGTTCATCCCTCTTTAGCATAAACGGTTCCCCAATGGGACCCCGGGGGTTGGCAACCAATCCCCAGCCTCCCAGCCTCTGTGCTGTGATTGGCTGAGAGCCCGATGTGACGTAGAGACAGGGGGCTGGGGCTGCAGTGCGAGGAGATCTGATTGGGCAGGAAATGAAGGGCCTGACGCTCGGAGCCTATTTAAGCACAGAATCCGCTCTGGTTGGTGTCGGAATCTTAGTCAAAATGTCAGGACGTGGGAAGACCGGAGGTAAAGCCCGAGCCAAGGCCAAGTCCCGCTCCTCCCGGGCCGGACTGCAGTTCCCCGTGGGCCGCGTCCACAGACATCTCCGTAAAGGCAACTACGCTGATCGCGTGGGGGCCGGAGCCCCGGTCTATCTGGCCGCGGTGCTCGAGTATCTGACCGCTGAGGTGCTGGAGCTGGCGGGTAACGCCGCCCGCGACAACAAGAAGACCAGGATCATCCCCCGGCACCTGCAGCTGGCCGTCCGCAACGACGAGGAGCTGAACAAGCTGCTGGGGGGAGTGACTATCGCTCAGGGCGGCGTGCTGCCCAATATCCAGGCTGTGCTGCTGCCCAAGAAAACCTCCTCCCATCCTCAGAAGAAGTAAATCATCGGAGGTTTTCCTATCCAACCAAAGGCTCTTTTCAGAGCCACCCACACTGTCCAGGAAAGAGCCGTTTGCCGTTTCAGCAAAGCGACCTCCAGTGCAGGGAGCTCGCTCGGCAGTTGCGGAGACAGGGCCCGCACCAGCCATGTGGAGTCCTGTAGCTCAGTGGTTAGAGCACTCGCTTTGCAAGTGAGAGACCTGAGTTCAATTCCAGGCAGAGGGCGAAACCTTGGGCAAGTTTCCTTACTCCACACAGAGCCTAATAATGACCCCTCCAAAAAACCAAAAACAAAAATTAAATTGGTCATTTTCAATCTACGACTGTTTGTGGGACATTGCTGTGCGCAATTGGCTGCTGCGTTCGCCCACAAATATACAGTCAATTCACTTTACAGTGTGTTCTGTGAAGCGCTTTGGGACGTCCTCCCGACGTGAAAAGTGCTATATCAAATGCAAGGATTATTATTATTATTATATATCTCTTACGCCACATCAAGTTGAATGGGCGGATATAATAATTGCGGGCTTTGGGATGACTTGGGGAGTCCGGGTGCAGTTCAGAGTTCCTCTTTGTGCGTCGCGTCGAAGACGCTGCAATAATGCCGCATGCATGTGAGCCACACACCGCTGCAAAATACTGCGGTGCCGGAAATCTGAAAGCAAAGCACAGCAGCAGGTCGGGCAGCATCAATGGAGAAAGGAAAGCGAGTCAACGTTTCGGGTCCGTGCTGACGCAGGGTCGTGGACCCGAAGCGTCGACGCGCTTTCCTCCCACAATGAACGCATGTGGATGGTTCAAGACACGATCCACAGAAAGACAGATCTCGCTGTATCGGCACCGGCCGTTACTGTACATTCGGTTTAACAGTGGTTTGGGCTGTAGATGCGTTAAGCTGAGGAGGAGTGTCAAGTGTACAGTTTGCTGGAGAGGCCGCTCTTTCCGTTTGACTATTTGGTGGCTCTTAAAAGAGCCTTTGTTCTTACACAGTGTGGAGACGGAGGGTCTAAGCGCGCTCCCCGCGGATGCGGCGGGCCAGCTGGATGTCCTTGGGCATGATGGTGACCCGCTTGGCGTGGATAGCGCACAAGTTGGTGTCCTCAAACAGCCCCACCAGGTAAGCCTCGCTGGCCTCCTGAAGCGCCATGACGGCAGAGCTCTGGAAGCGCAGGTCCGTCTTGAAATCCTGAGCGATTTCCCGCACCAGGCGCTGGAAGGGCAGTTTGCGGATCAGCAGCTCGGTGGATTTCTGGTAGCGGCGGATCTCCCGGAGAGCCACGGTGCCGGGACGGTAGCGATGCGGCTTCTTCACGCCCCCCGTGGCCGGAGCGCTCTTACGAGCAGCTTTGGTGGCCAACTGTTTGCGGGGAGCTTTGCCGCCGGTGGATTTCCGCGCCGTCTGCTTTGTCCGCGCCATCTTCTGACTCCCGCAAACAAGACGAGCTGTGAATGGCGAGTGCACTGTGAGCAGCGGCTCTTATAGAGGCCACAGCGCAACGATTGGCTGCAGTCAGGGGAGGAGAGAGTCACTGACACAGGGAAGAGAGATCAGCCTCTGAGCTGCGAGCTCCACCTCCAGCTTCTCAACAAGCATTTCAGACAGGGACTGAATCACCCTCACGAATCACATTGAAAATAAGTAGTGATGTGAGAATGATATCAAAACATTGTGACTCCCATTGTTTGTTTTTTAGAAAAATAAGGCCTATTTACGGAAATGCTGACGGTTTCTCTGTGTCCGAGTTTGTCTGAAAACATTCTGAAGACGTTCGACAGCTTCAGGAATCCTGCAGTGGGACGGTTGGCACACTCACCCTCGCAAGCGCGAGGACCTGGGCCAGGTTTCCGGACGGGGCCAAATGTTAGCAAAATTTCCTTACCCTTCCCGCCTCTGTTTACCGAGCAGTAACTAGGCACCCGCTTGTTAGTCGATTGGCGCATCGCTTTTCCGGTGGTAATAATCCCGTCAATAAAAGGAAAGAAGAATTTGGTCACTCAATCCAGACTGTTTGTTGAACACTGCTGTGTGAAATTGACTGCTGCGATTCCCTCACCAAATAAATGCAGTCAAGTGGCTTTACAGTGTACTCTGTGAAGCGATTTGAGTCGTGTCAAAGATATGATGAGGCGATATATCAAATGCAAGGATTATTCTTATTATTATTATTATTTTCTACCGTGTTACAACACCACACAGTGTCTTCCCATTTCCTGCTCTTTGATACCTCTTTGGCAGCTTCCCCCCAAGCGACAGAGGCTCTGACCCACTTTCACACGGTTGAAGGTTACATTCATTCCTTAGAAAGCCTCCTGGTGATGCACACAATTAAAATGATAATCATGAGCACATCAATCACTTTAATGAAACCGATTTAATCTTACCCGAAGAAGGATCTCATTTACTCCTTTCTTTATCTGAGTGAATTTGGTGCGGTTTCCAATGGTGTGGAACGGCGGGTGACTGCAGGCGGCCGATACACTGGGGCAGGACAGGGGGCACCCGTGTGCACACACACAGGGACAAACAGCCTGTGACTTTATTGTGGACAAAAATGAACTTCTCATTAATTGACTCAAACAAACTCTTTTTTTTCTTGGAATCACATATAATCCTGTCACTGCTTGCAATATGATAATTTTACACGATCTGAAATTCTGTAAGTATATGAACATTGAAAGTTCAGACATGACACTATGGTATAATGTTTCTCCTTATCCAGTGTTAATTTTAAATCGACTTTTGTTACAAAGTTTGACTGATTCTCTGAGGCTACACTCAATAACAGGATATTCAACATCAAGATAAATACTACTGAATGTTGAATTTTTCCAGATGGTCTATGCCTCTGATATTGTGTTTGGTTCTCATGTGGGTAACATCTGATTATAATAATAATCCTTGCATTTGATATAGCACTTTTCACGTCGGGAGGACGTCCCAAAGCTCTTCACAGAACATATTGTAAAGTGAATTAGCTGTGTATTTGTGGGCGAACGCGGCAGCCAATTGCGCACAGCAATGTCCCACAAACAGTCGTAGATTGAAAATGACCAATTTATTATTGTATTGTTTTGGAGGGATTATTATTAGGCTCTGTGTGGAGTAAGGAAATTTGCCCAAGGTTTCGCCCTCTGCCTGGAATTGAACTCAGGTCTCTCGCTTGCAAAGCGAGTGCTCTAACCACTGAGCTACAGGACTCCACTGATTGTCTGAATCTGCAGGTAAATCATGTGAGCTCCCTGTTATCCTGTGAGTAAGTTGTCTTTTTAACATGTTGAGTGGAGTTGAACTCAGATCTGTTTCTCTCGAAGCCCAAAGTTCAAATATTCCTCTTGAGCACAAATCTGTAGATAAACAGTGAAATATCCATCATTAGCTGTGGACAACATTCCTTACTCATGTCCTGAAGTTTAATCTGAAAGACAATAAAGTGTACGTCTGTCAGTGTGGCTCAGTTTTAGCAGCCTCACCTCTGAGCCAGTAGGTTGTGGGTTCATGCCCCACATTGGAAGTAGTTTAGTGCCATGCAATCTTTATCTTCCAACTGAACAAGCAGCCGGGACCTCAGTTTAACTTTTCATCCAAAGGACGGCACCTTCGACAGTGCAACACTGCCCCAGCACTGCATTGGAAAGTCAGTTGAGACATTGTCCCAAACTACGGCTTGAACCAGCAACCTTCTGACCCAGCGGCGAGAGACCTACCACTGAGTCAGGCCGGACACACTGTCTGTTGGAAATTTCCATTACCCACAACATGCAGGACTTTTCTAGGATTCCAGCTTTCCCTTAAACATACCCAATCAGTTAGTGACACTCTACAGTCCAACCCTATTGACAGCACAGGTTGACAGGCTTTATTTAACAATAACTCTCCTCAAAAAAAAACTTTCAAATTTGGTGTTCCTGACAAAATGTCACTCTGTGTTGTAGGTTGTGCACGTCCTTTCAACAATGTATCCTGATTGGTAAGGTATTGTGTTGCAATGTCTAGGAATGCTACTGGGTGCTTGCAGGTGAGTTGCTTGTGATGGTGGCAGTGTATCTGCTGCAAGTGTGGGCCTGTGGATTGTTTCTATGTTGATAATTTGTGAGAATACTGATTGTGTGTCATATTAATTTGAATTCATTTCAGAGGCTCTCTAATCTTGTACACAAACACGGAATCAATACTCCGTGTTCATGTCTTGCTATCTATATGTGAGTATCAAATAGATAATCCCTCCACGTCTAAGTGATATTGCTGTGTGTGCATCCGAAAAAGCCTGTGTGTTTTGCTGCTGCTTGAAGGTATTATTGCCGACCAAGAAATCTTTTCAAGAACAATAATCCAGTCACTCAATCCACTCCTGTTTGTGACACACTGCTGTGCATCATTGGCTGCCGGATTTCACCAAAAAAATATACAGTCAATTCATTTAACAGCATATTCTGTGAAGTGCTTTGAGATGCCATCAAGTCATGACAGTGCACTACATATTAAATGCAAGGATTATTATTATTATAGCTTGATACACCAGACCTCTTATACAGAGACCAGGCCTCTTATACAGAGAACAAGCTTCTTATACAGAGACCAGGCCAGTAATACAGACACAAGGGCTGCTATACAGAGACCAGGGCTGTTATACAGAGACCAGACCTCTTATATAGAGACCAGGGCTGTTATACAGAGCCCAGGCCAGTTATACAGAGACCAGGCCTTTTATACAGAGACCAGGCCAGTTATACAGAGACCAGGCCTTTTATACAGAGACCAGGCCAGTTATACAGAGACCCGGCCAGTTATACAGAGACCACGCGAGTTATACAGAGACCAGACCAGTTATACAGAGACCCGGCCAGTTATACAGAGAACAGGTGAGTTATACAGAGACCAGAGACCTCCACGTCTAAGTGATATTGCTGTGTGTGTGCATCCGAAAAAGCCTGTGTATTTTGCTGCTTCTTGAAGGTATTATTGCCGACCAAGAAATCTTTTCAAGAACAATAATCCGGTTACTCACTCCACTCCTGTTTGTGGCACACTGCTGTGCACCATTGGCTGCCGGATTTCACCAACAAAATATACAGTCAATTCATTTAACAGCATATTCTGTGAAGCGCTTTGAGATGCCATCAAGTCATGACAGTGCACCACATATTAAATGCAAGGATTATTATTATAGCTTGATACACCAGACCTCTAGAGACCATGCCTCTTATACAGAGAACAAGCTTCTTGTACAGAGACCAGGCCAGTAATACAGACACAAGGGCTGCTATACAGAGACCAGGGCTGTTATGCAGAGACCAGACCTCTTATATAGAGACCACGGCTGTTATACAGAGACCAGGGCAGTAATACAGAGACCAGGCCTCTTATACAGCGACCAGACCTCTTATACAGAGACCAGGCCAGTAATACAGAGACCAGGCCAGTAATACAGAGACCAGAGCGGTAATACAGAGACCAGGCCAGCTTTACAGAGACCAGGGCTGTTATACAGACGCCAGTCCAGTAATACAGAAACCAGGCCAGTAATACAGACACAAGGGATGCTATACAGAGACCAGGGCTGTTATACAGAGACCAGACCTCTTATATAGAGACCAGGGCTGTTATACAGAGCCCAGGCCAGTTATACAGAGACCAGGCCTTTTATACAGAGACCAGGCCAGTTATACAGAGACCAGGCCAGTTATACAGAGACAAGGCCTTTTATACAGAGACCAGGCCAGTTATACAGAGACCCTGCCAGTTATACAGAGACCAGGCGAGTTATACAGAGACCAGGCCAGTTATACAGAGACCCGGCCAGTTATACAGAGAACAGGTGAGTTATGCAGAGCCCAGGCCTGTTAGACATAGACCAGGCGAGTTGTACAGAGACCAGGCCTGTTAGACAGAGACCAGGCCTGTCAAACAGAGACCAGGCCAGTTATACAGAGACCAGGCCAGTTATACAGAGACCCGGCCAGTTATACAGAGAACAGGTGAGTTATACAGAGACCAGGCCTGTTAGACAGAGACCAGGCCTGTTAAACAGAGACCAGGCCAGTTATACAGAGACCAGAGCATTAATATAGAGACCAGGACTCTTATACAGAGACCAGGCCTCTTATACAGAGACCAGAGCTGTTGTACAGAGACCTGGGCTGTTACGCAGAGACCAGGCCTCTTATACAGAGACCAGGCCACTTATACAGAGACCAGGGCTGTAATACAGAGACCAGGCCTCTTATACAGAGACCAGACCTCCAATACAGAGACAAGGCCAGTCATACCGAGACCAGAGCAGTAATACAGAGACCAGGCCAGCCTTACAGAGACCAGAGCTGTTATACAGAGACCAGGCCAGTTTTACAGAAACCAGGCCAGTTTTACAGAGACGAGGCCTGCTACTCAGAAACCAGGCCAGTTATACAGAGACCAGAGCTGTAATACAGAGACCAGGCCAGTTATACAGAGACCAGGCCTTTTATACAGAGACCAGACCAGTTATACAGAGACCAGGCGAGTTATACAGAGACCAGGCCTGTTAAACAGAGACCAGGCCTGTTATACAGAGACCAGGCCAGTTATACAGAGACCAGGTCAGTTATACAGAGACCAAGCTGTTATACAGAGACCAGGCCAGTTATTCAGAGACCAGGCCTGTTATACAGAGACCAGGCCAGTTATACAGAGACCAGGCCAGTTATACAGAGACCAGGCCTCTTATTCAGAGACCAGACCTCTAATACAGAGACAAGGCCAGTCATACAGAGACCAGAGCAGTAATACAGAGACCAGGCCAGCCTTACAGAGACCAGAGCTGTTATACAGAGACCAGGCCAGTTATACAGAGACCAGAGCTGTTATACAGAGACCAGGCCAGCTGTACAGAGACCAGAGCTGTTATACAGAGAGCAGGTCAGTTTTACAGAGACCAGACCTGTTATACAGAGACCAGGCCAGTTTTACAGAGACCAGGCCAGTTATTCCAAGACCAGGCCTGTTATACAGAGACCAGACCTCTTATACAGAGACCAGCGCTGTTATACAGAGTCTAGGCCTCTTATACAGAGACCAGGCCACTAATACAGAGACCAGCGCTGTTATACAGAGACCAGGCCTGTTATACAGAGACCAGGCCAGTTATCCAGAGTGAGTATGATTGTTGCCGAAGTGTTCCCTGTGTCTGTCTCCAGCAACTGAAATATAATATGCAAACAGGAATCCTGATTTTCTGCCTTGTGTTCATTTTTTGAGTGTGGAGTATGTGCACTTAATGTAAGATGTACAATTGTCAATACTGCATCACTCAACAGCATATTAAATGGGTTTTGATTCGATAAATTTATGTGTCTCTGTTGTGTGAGTATACCCATAGACCGTGTGCTGATCGTGTCCCACTGATCGCTCGCTCCTGGCCTCTGTGGGCACATTTTGGCTGTCGCCCCGACCCGAGCCGTCCACGCCTGATAATGTTCTTGCTCCCAATCCCACAGTTTGCGTCTCCCACTCTGTGCTGCTCTCCCATTGCCCTGCTTGCCTGTACGTGTGTGTGAGTGTGCATGTGTGTGGGTGCGTACGTGTGTGTGAGTGTGCATGTGCATGTGTGTATGTGTGTGTGTGTGAATGTGTGTGTGTGTGTGTATGTTTTCGTGTGTGTGTCTAAGTGTGCATGTGTGTGTGTGTGTGTGTGTGTATGTACGTTTGTATGTATATATGTGCATATATACATGTGTGTGTGAATGCGTTTGTATGTGTGTACGTGTGTATGCATGGGTATGTACGTGTGTGAGTCAGTGTGTATGTGTGCCAATGAACATATATCAGGACTATCTGTCACAAAACAACTGAAAACATGGAAGATGAGCTGACACATCGGCAGTAATGCAGACACCACCATTCATGGCTGCACTCTTCACCTCACGGAGCCAATCCGAAACCTCGGTGTCCTTTTCGATCTTCAGCTACCCTTCAAACCCTTCATTCATGCCATGAACTGTTCCGTCTTTCCACACCTCTGCAACATTGCCCATCTCCACCACTGCCTCTCACCACAGGCCATTGAGACCCCAATACACAATTTCATCATATCCCATTGTGGTCAGGCATTCAGCATCCCTGCCCCCACAGTCTGGAACTCTACCCCACAATCCCTCCACTTCACCCCCAAGCTTGCCTCCTTCAATTCCCGTCTGAAGACCGTGTCATTTGTTGTTGCTGTAGAGCTGAGGCATGAGACACAAGATCCTTTGGTCCCACTAACAATGGGAACCTGCGAGATACTGGAGAGGATGTGAAGGAGATTTACCAGGATGGTACCAGGAATGAGGGACTTCAGTTATCAGGAGAGGCTTGAGAAGCTCGGATTATTCTCCTTGGAGCAGGGAAGGTTAAGCGGAGATTTAATAATACTAATAATAATCCTTGCATTTGATACAGCGCTTTTCACGTCCCTAGCCTTCCCAAAGCACTTCACAGAATATACTGCAAAGCGTATTGACTGTACATTTGTGACTGAACGCGGCAGCCAATTGCGCACAGCAGTGTTCCACAATCAGTCATGGATTGAAAATGACCAATTTATTATTGGGTTTTTTCAAAAGAGTTTTCAGAATTTGGAGCGGATTCGATAGAGTGACAAAGGAGAAACTATTCCCACTGGCGGGTGGGTCAGTAACCCGAGGACACCGAGTTAAAAGAAACAGAGGGGAAGTGAGGAGAAATGTTTTCACACAAGGAGTTGTTTGGATCTTGAATCCATTGTGTGAAAGGCTGGTGGACGCCGATGGCCACTTTATGAGAGAAATCGATCATTATTTGGAGAGAACCAGTTTGCAGGGCGATGGGGAGAGAGCAGGGGACTGACTTGGGTGGCTCTTTTCAAACAGCCGGCAGACACAATGGGCCGAATGGCCTCCTTCTGTGCCGTACTATTCTATTCATTCTACGTGGCTCAAGGTTTCCAATTCTCCAGCTCCTTAGCAACATAACCTTCGGGAACATGGAGGCTGTCCGTGTGAGATTCATAGTAACAGAAGTCATGACAAGTTGGATACAGAAACACTAAGCTGTGGTTTGTCTGTGGACAATCTTATTCGGGCTCCCGCTGGAGCGACCACATTATATATAGTGAAGGACAAACGCCTGACGCCAGACGAGTTTCGTTTGGAAGTTACAGCCTTTGATATGAGCACTTGGGCGGCTCTTATAAGAGCCTTTGTTCTTTGTGTCTTGACGTTCAGGAGATGTTCAGCCGCCGAATCCGTACAGAGTGCGGCCCTGGCGTTTCAGAGCGTACACCACATCCATGGCGGTGACGGTCTTGCGCTTGGCGTGCTCCGTGTAGGTGACCGCATCCCTGATCACATTCTCCAGGAAAACCTTCAGCACCCCGCGGGTCTCCTCGTAGATCAGGCCGGAGATGCGCTTGACTCCGCCACGCCGCGCCAGGCGGCGGATGGCTGGTTTGGTGATGCCCTGGATGTTATCACGGAGCACTTTGCGGTGACGCTTAGCGCCGCCTTTCCCCAGACCTTTGCCTCCTTTGCCTCGGCCAGACATGTCTCTCCTCCACTCAACAGCAGTCGAATGACGGACACGCAGCTTCTGGCTGCTTTTATACAGGGCGCCCCGACCTGGCTGAGGAAGGCAGAGCAGAGCTGCCGAGGGGAGGAGACGGTCACAGTGACACACACACACAGACACACAACAGCTGCCGCAGCTCAGCTCCTCCCGCAGTTTCCCACAATTGCCAATTGTTCAAACAATTTCGCAAAAGCAAACCGGAAACCAAAAGAACCCCAATTCAAATGCCATGTGAACCTCTAAACCCCATGGTTTCCCATCAAGTAGTAATGTTAAAGCAGCTCTCCAGCTGGAATGTGCGCGGGAAATACCATTCAACCTCACTGACCAGAAGGAGTTACTGTTAACTGTTAATGTGGCTTCCCTCAAAATAAACGCAAATGCTCCTGAATTCCCAGCATGTTACAGGCACGGACATGGAATATTAGAGGTTGAAGGTATAAGATGAGGCTCAGAGTCTGTGTCACTGCCAGAGTTTAGCCAGAATCTCGAGCTCGGAAACTTCTCAGTTTTTTTCTATTTTTCGCCGAATGATCAACGCTGTGTTTTGCGATACCACCGCTGTTATTTCCCACTGTTGTAGCTATTGATGGGAAGGAGAATGTAGTGAAACTGGCAGGCTTTTTGAATTTTCTGTGAGGCAATTCACTTTACAGTGTGTTCTGTCAAACGCTTTGGGACGTCCTCCTAATGTGAAAATATCAAATGCAAGGATTATTATTATTATTATTATTATTACTAACCGTGGAGTACACAGACAGAACCAGTGAAATCCTTTCTCCTTTGTCCTATCTGTGAGAACACTGACACTGTGGCGAGCTCCTATCTCAGAGCCTCCTGTCACTCACTGCGCTGCCAAACAGTCACAAACTCGGGAGACTGCAGCACAGAACATGGACAGAGGAAAATCCGCAAACAGTCAAAGGATTGAGGGACCAAATTCTTCTTTCCTTTTATTGACGGGATTATTACCACCGGAAAAGCGATGCGCCAATCGACTAACAAGCGGGTGCCTAGTTACTGCTCGGTAAACAGAGGCGGGAAGGGTAAGGAAATTTTGCTAACATTTGGCCCCGTCCGGAAACCCTGGCCCAGGTCCTCGCGCTTGCGAGGGTGAGTGTGCCAACCGTCCCACTGCAGGATTCCTGAAGCTGTCGAACGTCTTCAGAATGTTTTCAGACAAACTCGGACACAGAGAAACCGTCAGCATTTCCGTAAATAGGCCTTATTTTTCTAAAAAACAAACAATGGGAGTCACAATGTTTTGATATCATTCTCACATCACTACTTATTTTCAATGTGATTCGTGAGGGTGATTCAGTCCCTGTCTGAAATGCTTGTTGAGAAGCTGGAGGTGGAGCTCGCAGCTCAGAGGCTGATCTCTCTTCCCTGTGTCAGTGACTCTCTCCTCCCCTGACTGCAGCCAATCGTTGCGCTGTGGCCTCTATAAGAGCCGCTGCTCACAGTGCACTCGCCATTCACAGCTCGTCTTGTTTGCGGGAGTCAGAAGATGGCGCGGACAAAGCAGACGGCGCGGAAATCCACCGGCGGCAAAGCTCCCCGCAAACAGTTGGCCACCAAAGCTGCTCGTAAGAGCGCTCCGGCCACGGGGGGCGTGAAGAAGCCGCATCGCTACCGTCCCGGCACCGTGGCTCTCCGGGAGATCCGCCGCTACCAGAAATCCACCGAGCTGCTGATCCGCAAACTGCCCTTCCAGCGCCTGGTGCGGGAAATCGCTCAGGATTTCAAGACGGACCTGCGCTTCCAGAGCTCTGCCGTCATGGCGCTTCAGGAGGCCAGCGAGGCTTACCTGGTGGGGCTGTTTGAGGACACCAACTTGTGCGCTATCCACGCCAAGCGGGTCACCATCATGCCCAAGGACATCCAGCTGGCCCGCCGCATCCGCGGGGAGCGCGCTTAGACCCTCCGTCTCCACACTGTGTAAGAACAAAGGCTCTTTTAAGAGCCACCAAATAGTCAAACGGAAAGAGCGGCCTCTCCAGCAAACTGTACACTTGACACTCCTCCTCAGCTTAACGCATCTACAGCCCAAACCACTGTTAAACCGAATGTACAGTAACGGCCGGTGCCGATACAGCGAGATCTGTCTTTCTGTGGATCGTGTCTTGAACCATCCACATGCGTTCATTGTGGGAGGAAAGCGCGTCGACGCTTCGGGTCCACGACCCTGCGTCAGCACGGACCCGAAACGTTGACTCGCTTTCCTTTCTCCATTGATGCTGCCCGACCTGCTGCTGTGCTTTGCTTTCAGATTTCCGGCACCGCAGTATTTTGCAGCGGTGTGTGGCTCACATGCATGCGGCATTATTGCAGCGTCTTCAACGCGACGCACAAAGAGGAACTCTGAACTGCACCCGGACTCCCCAAGTCATCCCAAAGCCCGCAATTATTATATCCGCCCATTCAACTTTATGTGGCGTAAGAGATATATAATAATAATAATAATCCTTGCATTTGATATAGCACTTTTCACGTCGGGAGGACGTCCCAAAGCACTTCACAGAACACACTGTAAAGTGAATTGACTGTATATTTGTGGGCGAACGCAGCAGCCAATTGCGCACAGCAATGTCCCACAAACAGTCGTAGATTGAAAATGACCAATTTAATTTTTGTTTTTGGTTCTTTGGAGGGGTCATTATTAGGCTCTGTGTGGAGTAAGGAAACTTGCCCAAGGTTTCGCCCTCTGCCTGGAATTGAACTCAGGTCTCTCACTTGCAAAGCGAGTGCTCTAACCACTGAGCTACAGGACTCCACATGGCTGGTGCGGGCCCTGTCTTTGCTGAAACGGCAAACGGCTCTTTCCTGGACCGTGTGGGTGGCTCTGAAAAGAGCCTTTGGTTGGATAGGAAAACCTCGGATGATTTACTTCTTCTGAGGATGGGAGGAGGTTTTCTTGGGCAGCAGCACAGCCTGGATATTGGGCAGCACGCCGCCCTGAGCGATAGTCACTCCCCCCAGCAGCTTGTTCAGCTCCTCGTCGTTGCGGACGGCCAGCTGCAGGTGCCGGGGGATGATCCTGGTCTTCTTGTTGTCGCGGGCGGCGTTGCCCGCCAGCTCCAGCACCTCAGCGGTCAGATACTCGAGCACCGCGGCCAGATAGACCGGGGCTCCGGCCCCCACGCGATCAGCGTAGTTGCCTTTACGGAGATGTCTGTGGACGCGGCCCACGGGGAACTGCAGTCCGGCCCGGGAGGAGCGGGACTTGGCCTTGGCTCGGGCTTTACCTCCGGTCTTCCCACGTCCTGACATTTTGACTAAGATTCCGACACCAACCAGAGCGGATTCTGTGCTTAAATAGGCTCCGAGCGTCAGGCCCTTCATTTCCTGCCCAATCAGATCTCCTCGCACTGCAGCCCCAGCCCCCTGTCTCTACGTCACATCGGGCTCTCAGCCAATCACAGCACAGAGGCTGGGAGGCTGGGGATTGGTTGCCAACCCCCGGGGTCCCATTGGGGAACCGATTATGCTAAAGAGGGATGAACGGACTGCTTTGCTGGGATTGGATGGCGATAATATATAAGTAGACGTTCAGCCACTGCCCGACACTGTGTCGGTGGTATCAAGAGAGCAGAATGGCTGGTGAGGGCAAAACCGATGCCAAAGCCGCTAAATCGAGGGCAAAGGAGCGCCCAAAAAAGGCAGCAAGAAAGCGATTCGCAAACCGCAGACTGCGGGCAAGAAGCGCAGGAGGTCGAGGAAGGAGAGTTACTCCATCTACGTGTACAAGGTGATGAAGCAGGTCCACCCGGACACCGGCATCTCCTCCAAGGCCATGAGCATCATGAACTCCTTTGTGAATGACATCTTCGAGCGCATCGCGTCCGAGGCTTCCCGCCTGGCGCAGTACAACAAGCGCTCGACCATCACCTCCAGGGAGATCCAGACCGCCGTGCGCCTGCTGCTGCCCGGGGAGCTGGCCAAGCACGCCGTGTCCGAGGGCACCAAGGCCGTCACCAAGTACACCAGCTCCAAGTGAGGGCTCACAGTCACTCCATCTACACACAAAGGCTCTTTTCAGAGCCACACACCACTTCTCCGACAGAGCTGTAGCAAAAGCGCCTTAAACTTGTGTGTGCACTGACGATATCCAGCGCCTTGGCTCGTCGTCCCGACCTGAAAAGCACTGTACCATGTAATCTGTAGCTCCACCGGTGCTCATTTCAGCTGCCCTCAGCGCCTAACCCTCTCTTGTCCTTCAATCCCAATGTCCTGAGGATGTCTTAAAGCAATGAGAGTAGTTGTGCGAGTACAAGATATCCCCATGTTTCATGTCAATTATTTTCGGAGGGTTGTGATTACTGGGGATAAACAACAACAACAAGATTCCATTTATAGAGTGCCTTTGACGTTGGGAGAAGGTCCCAAGGCGCTGTACAGTTCGCTTCGGACCCGAGCTCAGGGGAAATGGTCGGTTGAGGGGAGGGAAGTGAGGGAACGAGGAGGGGTGGCGAGTCGAGAGGGGAGCAGAAGGCACGATCAAATAGAAAGGTCTTGCGACCGGCCTTGAAGGGGGAAAGGGAGGAGCAAGGTGAAGGCCCTGGGAAATGGAGTTC